AGTTCATACATTTGCAGCCGTTAGATACTAACGTTGAATATAACAAACAGCATAATATCCAAATGTTATGAGTTATGCGATTGAGTATGTAAAATGGTGCATAATTCGTGCAGAACCAGACTTAACGGCGTACTGGACCCCCCTTGATCCTAGTTGCACAGGGAGCTATTTAAGCAGGCTTCGTCTCCATGGTATTTTAGCACAAGGCGTTTTTTTGTTTGCTACTTACCCCAGAATTTGACTTGTGCGCGTTATCATACAAAGGGAACGTTGCTGATGAATGGCAAGTTTGTATAGCTGACAAAATAACATGACATTTATCTGGAATTGCAGATACTCAGGCAGGGTCCAAAACCTGCTTAAATGGCGCCCATAGGCAACAAGGATCAATGGTGCAGTGCAATATACCGTAATACAAAAACAATTTGTAACATAAACAGTCATTGTGATAAACTAACAAACAATGCGTAATAAATACATCAGACTTTAGACCAATAACAGTTCCTGAATCGACGCAGTGTAGGCTGAAAATGACCGTCATGTACCGTCGTGGCGGATTTGAAAACGGCCTATATGGGCGGGGGGGGGTAAATGATGAATGCGGTACGGACCTTTAGACACATGTTAAGCAAGCGCAAGCCAGAATTTGGATTCGCGGCAACGGAGTTATTGTTTAGATGTTTCAGGTTATAATTGAAGTGAGTTGTCATGAGTTTGTTTTCGAAAATCGTTTGTCGCATGACGACAGACAGATTTCAGAAGTTACAGTAAACCTCACCTGGAACGTTCTGCCAGCGGCTCACCACCGGCACCTTCGTTTGCAAGATATTTGGTCACCTTCCGTTCAGGCAAGACTCAATCGGAGAGGTTGAAATCGACGGGTTTACAAGGTTATAAGCAGCCCAGGTAGGGCTTCGAAAACGGTCTGTTTCTCATGAGTATTGGGACAAGACTTCTGAACTGAGGTGGAGGGTTGGTTTTGAAAAAAAACCCTTGTTTACATCACCCTTTATCACACTGTATGAATTACGTTCAGACAGACATCGCATAGAATCGCCCGTTGGTAGCGATTAGTTAGGTTACCAGTTAGAAAAGAAAAGTTAGTGTCCCTTGAGCCTCGTTCTCTCTTACACTTCTATTATATATCTGTTTACCATCCACAGTTAAGTTCCACGGCATGACCGCATTGCTTAATTTCTGATGATACACACTGAAAGGCTGGCAGTCATAATTTTAGCATATTCTGCTCCATCCGCGAAAGATATGGCATATAGCATCTGCAAATATGTTTCGAGTAGGTGTTTTCATATTTGACGTGGTCGCGGGAACGGGTCGATGGTTTGAATCTGACAATTGGATTTTTTGAACGACTGATGTTTCGTCCTTGTTCACCGTATTATCGACTCGGGAGATCCTTCGTTCCAGTAGCACTTAACCCGCTTCAATGATGAGCACCATTTTAAACACCCTTACAGTATGGCACAGATCTCCGTTTCAGTATCGTCAGTCAGACAGCCTGAATTTAATACAGCATATGTTTGCACGTATGTGGCACATATAGCGTATGCACTGTTGTTTCTTTATGTTTATGACTCAAAGTCATATTCGTCAATGGGGAGTAATTGGAATGGGGCTCGAACCAACGATTTGTCGACTGTGAGTCCGAGACTCTGGCGACCGAAATGCAGCAGATTCACTGCTTGACAAAACAGCACTGCCAGAATGCACTTTCTAGAATGGAAAGTTAGTCTTTGTTCAGATCAGCAGTGTTCCAAAAGAGAAAGCTAAGAACCATGTTCTATGGCAAAGGCGAATTGCGAATTAATGGGCGACAGTTTAGAATCATTAACCGCCGACAAATGATCAGTCGCGCACCATTATAGAAGTGAACTTATTGACTGATTGATTGATGGTTCTCTTTCGACTTTACTAACAGATTTTGCTGTAAGCAAAAGTTTCAAATGGCAGTCGAGAAACTGTCCATCACTGGTATCAATTCAGTACAATTAATGAATTATGTTTGTCCCTGAAAGGAACAATCAATTTGGTTGGCAACATTTAAAATGATCGACAAAACCGGTCTGACAGGTAATGGAAGAGTTGTTGAGAAGCATTTCAATTTTTAATAGTCAGTTACTCAGTTTCTATCACCGTTTACTTTTCGGGTGGCGGGGGCACACACGACTGACAGTGTCTACAACATTCCCAGTCCTATGCTAACACTTGAACTTCAGCAGAATATAGCACGAGTACAGAGCAGAGTCTATAGAGGCAGACTGTATCTCGAATGTCTGTACTGTGGATCATCAAAAAAACGAGAACGCACTAGGCTTTTCGCCATAGACACGTTCACTCGCATGCCGGTCACCTGACTCTACTGCGTGCCTCTCCTGACATCACCTGGAGGTAAATTTTGGAAGATGCCAACAAAACAATGTCGACTGCAAATAGCCAACTTCTTGTCTCGATATCTCCTAGGCTAGTACACTCATCGCCCTGGCTGCACCTGACTTTTCTATCCATGTACAACACAAATAGGACAGGGGACAGAACGCAGACCATCTGAACCTGATGTGCATATTCCGACGATTTCTCAACGATCTTGGGTAGGGGGCATATATCTGGTCAGAGGTGTTACGACCTGACCTGAAACTAACTTGTGCCCGAGTGTCAGCTATTTCTTTGTATCTCATTTCTAACACCCGTGCAGAATTTACCCCAGAGGCTCAGTAATTTACCTCAGAGGTGCAGTAAGTTAACTCCACGATAATTGGAGCACTTCCTGTGAATTCCCGTTTTGAACAGGTGTACTACTACCACCCCAGTTCTACACGCCATTTATGTTTTCAACGTTGTCATTGCGGTTTGAGAGCCACAAGTTAGCACAACTTGGCTTTTATGCCTAAGGTTTTATGCATCTCAGAGTGGATTTGGTCGATTCCATCAGCTTTGTCATTTTTCAAGCTTTTTATAGCGTGTGTGACTTCATCCACTGAAATCTAATATCTGTTGCCTGCTACTTTCAAGGCGATTCTTCTCCATCGACAAAGTTTATCCTCTTACTTTGTAGGAAGGCACCCGAGCTTGTCCTTTATGACTCTCAGACCTTTATTTTTACATCTAGATGGTGGCGGAAGATCTGTCAGAATATCCGTTTGCCGTCTGAAAATTCGACTCCAGATTCTGACTGAACTTTGCCCAGGAATCGGCTTTCGCTGTCGTCTTGCGCGTGTTTTCTTACCATATTCGAGATGAGGGCTCTTGGCTTCTAAGCCACCTCTTAGACGCAACCTTCTTTTTGCAGAAAACCAGCTGAACCTCAAATGTCCACCAGGAGATTCGTTTCTGACCTTCAGGCTGTAGGCCAACTCGTTTTAAACTGCTTCATTCGGCGGTAGCTTTGAGTAAGCCGCTGTTAAAGAGCTTCCACTCTGTTTCCACGTCAGTGGAAATTTAATTCTCCGGCTGTTTCTGGCGCCAGATCTTTCTGGGGATTCCTCGTTTGCAGCTGAGGGTGCCTACGTCAACGTTTTGTTCGATTTACAGCTCTTACAGAGGGTCATAAGTCAGACGATGTGATTATCAAATCGATTATCGACATCTGTGCATAAGCTTACCTGACTTATTCATTTTTCGGTTGTCGAAGAAAGCGTTCATTGCATACCGCAAATAGAAAGGAGACAACTTTATGCCGTTCTTGGTCACTAAGGTCATTCTTTCCAGTCACCACTGTCCACTCCTACAGTTTAGTATCCGCTCCTACATGCACATTGAAATCGCCCATCAGAATTATGGATTCCATAGTCGACCCTTCGTACAGAGCATCTTCTACTCATATTCATTCCGTCCGAATGAGGAACATAGATCTTTAACAAGATCAATACCTTCGCCTGTTTAACCTCTCATACAGCAAGTAAATCCAGCTTATATTCATCGAATACGTTGCTTTCGCTCACGTTGATTTCAAGGTACAAAGGCAGTTGGTTGGAACGGTTGGAAAGCTGCACCTCATCCTCGTCTAAATTTAGACTCCAACTTGAATTAATGTCACTCTTGAAGTGAAATATGAATTATGGTTAAAGGAAGTCGTGAATAACAACCAGCCTGCTCTAAAGCTATAAGTATAGATGGGAAGGGGGATAACACAGTGGCAAGGAGGGAGGGTCGAATTCAGAGTTGGCGGGTTTGAGAGCTTTGAAGGAACGATCTTTGTTTTCCGTACAACCAGCCGAAAACGGGTACCAAATTGTGAAGTTACGAAGTACAGGTCAGAACGGTGTTCTGGCGAGGTATTACCACAGGGCGCGAGAGGTACGGCTTGCTCTCTGATGTGAGCACCTCATAAGGCTAGAAATTACGTTGATCCACCTGATAGCTGCTTGTTGAATGAGATAATCAGTAGACGACGTGATCCCTGTTGTTATTAAGCTTGACAAGTTGCTGAATTCTTAACGCAGGCTTCAGCATTGTCAGTCACGTGGTTAAATAGCACTTTTCTGACCTGCAGGAAGAAATAGAAGTTAACGGCATTTTCACCGATGTTCACGTCTTAAGTAATCTTGTCGGACAAACAAGAAAGTCGTTTGGCATGGATATTCGGTAGGAGCTTTATCGTACAACAAAATCGGGTGTCGCGCAATGTAGTGAGAATGATTCGCCATTTAATGTTCTTCACGACTCAAAATTGGGCCATCAAATATCGGTCATTTTTTTCGACACCAGTAAATTCATTAATGCTTCACAGACGTAATTCTGCTGTATCATGAGGTCAACGAAATTCAAGAGCTGCGCTAATCTCATAGGCAGATAACATCCGGATTAACCTAAGGCTTTCTCATCTCGTCTTGGACTGATCAATAATGTGCTCATGTGATTAGTCAAAAATTCACGAAGCTCGATCAGCTCCAGAAACTGTACAGCGTGACTGAAATGTCAATTTATGCGATGGAGCAGAGTTTCGGTACTGTGCCAAGTTTTTTTTACATTCCAGCACTGAATGTTTGGCTAACAATGAATCATATGATTTTGCGGCCACTGTTTTTCTTCGTATTTTAGGCGTGGCTGATTTATGTCTTTGAATCCAAAGCAGGCTACCAAACGGATTAGCCAGTAGTGGATCGGCAAGGCGGGGCAACAGAGACTCGAAGCATCTGCTTCACACAGTCGCACAGATTTCGTATTCTACCAAGAAATGAGGCTATCTACTCAATTATCTTTTCGAGCTTTTCACTTTCAGAAAATTTCC